TTTCAGTTACTGCTCCCAACACCACAGTAAATTTTTGTCACCATACTTACATTCAGTTAAATCAGTCCTGTATACGAAATTCAGGTTATAATAAGGGATCATCCTATACATATAGTTAATAGGAGCCAGAGAGACCTTTGCAGAGTGAACTGCATTTCCATGTGGAGTCGTAATTAAAATGGTGTTACACACCTGCTGCTTAAGGCCATCATTATGCTCAAGACATGACAGTTAGCACTATACTTCAGCAATATTCACTGCTATCTCAATCAGTCTAAACAAACTATGCATTGAAATTCTTCTTCCTACACTGGTCATTGGAAACTACGTTGCAGAAACCTATTCGCTGTGCATGATTTCTCTTGCTGAGAAATGTTAAAATAAACCATGAAACACTACAGCAAATGATGGGTACTTTGGGTTTAGTTTATCTTCATGAGAATTCCTGAAGACTTTTTCTACAAATGACACAAAGGTTTAATAGCTACCAGGAACGTATCTTCTATGATTGGCTTCCATCTGCCAGCTAAGTAGTGACCAGAGTGACATGCTTTAGAAAAAAACCCATGAGATAGAGCCTATAGTGGTTTTCAGAAAATCGTGGTGCAGCAAGTTAACAGTTTAACCCGTTTCCCCAAAAGATTACTTCAATACTGTATTTTAAAAACCAACGCTGTTCTCCACAGAGCAGTGAGCACCCCTGTTTTGTCCAGCCATATTTTGGCAGCTAGTCGCTTAGGACTTCCTTTTTTAAATTGTGTTTACTCACCTTTAAGTTTGTGATCGTAGTTTTATTTTTTTCCATTGAAATAATAAACTTTGCATTAAGGTCTTTCTCCCTGAAAGAAAAATGAGACTTGAGTATGTTAAATAAAACATATCACAATAATCCACAGTCACATTTCCACTCACTAGGCTGCTTGCCCAAGCTAATTATCAAGTGAATTCATTTTTATTTCACTTTTTAATTGTTGTGACCAATGTTTATTTATTGCTATGGGATACATTTGAAGTACTTGGGCTTGCCTCCAAATCCCTTCATCTAGAAGCAGAGCAGCAGCTCAGGGAAACCTGCTTCAGAAGCTGGACTCTGCAAGTCAATTAAGTGGTTTATTCTTAATTTGAAGTACTCTGATTCAAAGCCCAGTGAAGTCAATTACGTGGCTCTAAGGAACTGCAAAACAGAACGTTACAAGATAAGCCCCAGCCTCTTACCACCATCCTAGCAGCAGCAGTCCCCAATTACACAGCCGAGGTAACAGGGACTACATATTTAAACCGCAAAACCCCAGTATTTTAAAACCCTCTTAGAAATGAGGTACCCAACAGGCTTTTTGAGCTGTGATGTATCCTGGCAGCGCAGGAGAGACTCTGCTACCAAGGGAGTGTTGCACAGGTTTGTTGCTTCCCTGAGCACGACGATTCCAGAAAGAAAAAAAGCCCAGTTCTGCAGCAGCGTTTCCATGCACCCACATCTATTGCACATCAGCTGTTTCTGACTGTTTTCAAAACTATCATAAAAAGAAAATTGTTAGCTGAGTGTCTAAAACCAGCATGTATCAACCTGCTTGCTAGAGATGGGATTTCATTGCAGTTAGTCATAAGAGTAATACAGGCTGCTCTTGAATGACAACCTTGAGCGTAACATCTCCCATGTTATTAAAAACATCCACATGAGGAAAAATAAAAAAGCCCAGAGAAGAAAACTGCTATATGCACCATACAAAACCTCACTCCCCAAATGCAAATGCCAACAGACACGCTTGTTCCAAAACCATCTGCTAAGTCACCTGACAAACTGGTGTGCCCGACTGGTGCAAAGGAAGGCAGAGGGCTTTTAAGCAACAAAGTGCTGCTTCACCATATTATTGCACAATATCTCAGTGATTACTGGATATCCGCTTGCACCAACCGAAAATGAAAAAGAGAAACTTCTTCCTAGTAACAGGAGACTCAAATTCAGGATTTTAGTGCAACATTTTCTTCCTCTTGGTGCACTGGATCACCCAGCTCTATGTTCCTCAGCAGACTCTGCAGCTACCCACTACTCACATTCAGTTTTCTAGTAGAAATGCTAAAGAAAAGCAAAACCCATTTTAAGATCTAGATTAATGAATAAAGATTAGGCAAATAAAAGTGCTTATTTAAATATCAACACATTAAGTTATTTTCTAAGCTAATAAAAAATATAATTGTAATAATTACAGCATTAATTATACAACTGAATTTAGATCTACCATAGAAAAACATTAAAGACATGCCTTAAGAGATGCCCCTTAGTCATTCCCATGTCATCCTTAGTAGCTTATACTACAACTACACTTATGAGACCGAAATACTAATATACAGCTAGGGGTAATAATCAGGGAAAGGAAGAAGAAGTTGCCAATGGTAATTTTTAGTAGGAAATAGATCTTGGAATTGCAGTAACACAGGCTCTGGATGGTCCATCTTACTATGAAAATTTGTTTCAAACACAATTTGTAACCTGCTTCCTCTAGGAAGTTTGAAAGGACTCTGGGCAAGTAGACATTTGGGTAAGAATTATTGCTTTTTTGTCTGGATTTCTTTGTGCTTGAGATGTACGAAGGGAAAGAATAAAATGTTGGTGCCTTCTCTCCCAGATCTACCCAGCTCTCCACATTACAAAAAGCTAAAGCTACCCAATAATGGAAAACTGATACAAACTGTTTGAAATCTAACACTCATATATGAACGACACAAAATTCTGAGAAGCCTGCAGTCATTAATTTTTGTGATAACACTCATAATAATATTACTGAACATTAGTAAAGAATGAGGATTTCAAAGTGAAGAAAAAAAAAAGGCCTTGTAAACCACTAGCCAGTAAAAAAACCTCATAAATAGAATTTTGTATTTTTGCAGGGGAAGGGATAGAGAGAGGACAACCTGAAACAGGAATACCATGATCAGAATCAATAAGCCAACCTGAGAGAAGTGAAAAGAATTAACAGGAATCAAATGTTAAAGCTTCATTTTAATACGAGACACAGCTGAGTAGAATTTACTGTACATATGAAGCGTTTGAGAGGATCCCATAAAAAACAATTGCTTGCATGATGCCAGACATTTCCAGGCACTCACTTAATGCAGTTCAGCAGAGGCTGAGTCCCTTTAAAAAAATTTTGATTGCAAGTTCCACCTTAATTAAAAGTTCAGGCTGTAAACAGCCATATTGCAGTGTTGAGCACCCTTCTGAGAACCTTCAGGGCTAGGAGAACCCTACTGCTCCTCCAGCATCCATAGGAACCACCAGCCCTACCTCAGCCTAGAGATAAGCTCCAGCCGCTACCCAAAGACGCTGCCCCCGCAAACTCCATCCCCTTCATCACAAAGCAACGTAAAGGGGCCGGCTGCCAAAACCCGTTTGCAATTAACGCTCTGATGATTTCAGAAACCCTGCTTCCCCCCAGGTCCAATCTGCTCACCCAGCAGCGTTTAGGGCCAGCCTCCAGGCTGTCCTCGCTGCTGTTTCATACACCACGTGGAGCTTCAGGATCACAAGGGAAGGAAATTTATAACCCGTGATCCCTAACCAAACTACAAAGTCATCAAGCAGGCAAGTTTCTTGGCACAGAAACCAGGAAATATATCAGCCCGGTGCTGTTGTTATTGCTCTACTATTGCTAAATTCAGCTAGTCATCACAAGGAGGAGAGGGGAAGGAAAAAAAAATAAAAGGAAAAAAAAAATCAGAAAAACTACTTCAAATAATACTGACACTTTATTTTAATATAAACAATCTCAATATTAGTACCAAGTCACGCTTAAAAGAACTAGTATACTTTTCTTGTAATGGGATAAGTTGATAAATGGCTCACTTGGGCAAAGTTTTAATGATTTCTCCTCATCACAAGGGGCATGTAGGTTATGAAGAACTGCCCCAAACCGAAGATGATTCAGCAGCCATATCAAAACACGGCAGCTTCACGGAAAAAGCTCCAATGTAGGTATCCCTACGTCAAGTTTCTTTCTCTCCTTCCCTTATATTCCCTGTTTATTTTCAAGGCAAAGAGCAGAGTGGTTTTTGCACCTCCACAGGCATCTAGTCAAAATCATACTATAGGCAGCCAAACATTAGCAGTATCTCCAAATTTCAAAGCAACCTTCCATGACCCCTGTTATGTCACTTAACCAGTCCTCTACAAGACTTTCTGAAGATCCTCCCACAGAGAGAAGGGAGAAGAGCATGGAAAAGCACTGTGACCTCAAATATAAATCAACAAGGGAAGCTTTAGAAAAATCCCCATTACAGACATGCAAAATGTATTTGGTCTTTTTGCAAGCTCATCTTTAAGTCCCTCCCTTTAAGGTCCTTCAGTGGAAGGTTCAGTTATTTAAACAGGCTTTTTATTAATCTGTCTGTATTATTCAGACACTGGAGCATTTATTATAGCTTATCCCATTAGAAAATCATTATATTATGTTTTCCATTAAATTGGTACTATGGCAATCAGTTGTGATTACCGTAATACCTGTCAGACATGACTCTGAGAAGAGAACAGAAAGAACGAGGTGCATTTCATCTGGGGAGTGGGAGGGGCAAACCAAAAAGGATGGGACAGAAAGTGCAACCAGTTTTCCCAAACAGCGTTTCAAAAGACCACTGCAGAAAATCTCCAAGGCTGCAGAGACAAGGACACAGGAACTACCTGAATTGCCTGTGGAGCACCTATGTGTCAAAACAGAAAATGGGTCTGTAAAATACACTCTTGGAAATTCACTTCACCGTAGACATCTAATGGAACACCTATTGGAAAAGGATTATACTGAAGAGCAGATCTGCCATTTTGTTTTTCAACTACTCAAAATCATAGTCTGAGCACTTGTAAAAGCAACTCGACCATGCTCAATGGCTTTTCTTTTCAGCAAAGTGCCTGCTACTTCTTATGCTCACATTTTAGGGACAATGTTATGGATTTCCTGTTTATCACCCTGCTTGTTCACTACCCAGGTGTATTTCTGGGGTCATCAAGTGAAAGCATGAGGGTTGCTTAATGACCAGGAGAATTCAAAGTAGATTTAGCTGAAAAACAAGCACAAAGCATGTCACAGAAAGAACTTGGCTTTTTCTTGTAGCTTGGTAACACACTAACTGTACATTTGCCCTGATGATCCATTGAATTACACAGACTAAGAGCACTTTCCTTTGTCTGAGTAACTCTTACAAAGGGAACATTCAATTCAACTGTATGCTTTAAAAAGTCAAACAAAAACTCTCCTATCCAAGAAATTCTTTGTTACTTTCTGTAACTACAGAAAAAGTAAAGTTGCTGCAAACTGAAATATCACACAATTTCTCTTTCCTATTCAGAGATTTTTGTTTGGTTTTGTGTTTTTGGTTTTTTAACTTCTTCAACACTTATCAAATCATTTTGTACGAAGTACATTTTTTCTAAAGGTGATTCCATACCTAGATGCAGTTAAAAACATAAATCTGGTGGCCTGCATATAAAAATCCTTCATTACCCTTTGGGTTAAAGTAACTTTTTCCATAAACATCAATAACGAGCAGTTTCAATATAATGTTGGCAGAGACCTAAAATCAGAACAAGTCAAGCAATCTGACTTAAACACAAGATTCTGGGAATCCACTGTTGCTCGAGTCATCGATACTACATGATTACACTGTATAAAAATCACAGTTGTCTCCATAGCAGGGCAACAGCCCAGCATATCCTGAGCTCAGAGTGACCTCATGCTGTTGACTGTTACGGCTACAAGCCCATAATTAAATGACTGAAGGCATATTTACACTAATATAGCCTAAAAGTTAACAACTACGCACTGTACATCAAGCAGCACAACTGCAACC